TTCCTTAGTGGGATTTTATTTCTGAAATTGTTTTCTATTCCTGGCTCTTGAATCTTTGTTTTCTTCTAAACCTCTTTAAACAAAGAAAGTTCAAAAATAAGGTATATATACGAGAGACTGGAATAGAAAAACTATGTATTTATATTTGTCTAACATTTATTTCTAAATTTATCTTAAATTATTTCTGCGTTTCTCAATTTCCTTGTGTCAAGTTTTGTCTATTCCTGTCTATTCTATTTTCTTCTTTTTCTTGTCTCTTTAAACAAAGTTTAAAAAATAAGGTAAATACGAGATCCTAGAATAGGAAAACCAAGGGGAAAACCACCTAGAAATTCTTTGCCAAAAATGTGGGGAATTTAGAGGAATTTGTGGGAAATTTAGAGGAATTTGTAGGGAATTTGGAAGAACTCATCGGAATTTATGAGAATTTAGGGAATTTATAGGGAATTTGGAAGAATTTTTATGTGGAATTTGTGAGGAATTTAAAGGAAATTGTAGGGTTATGACAACACTGAGGTTCACATTCTTCTTATAAGAAATAGTAATAAATGGAAATTTTAAAAAAAATCTAGTTTTGTGTTGGATGTTGGATATTCATTTTTATTAAAGAAATCCTCCCAAAATTACACTTCATGATTTACAGGTCCAAATTTAAAAAATTCAGAAGAATAATGAATACAGTTTTTGTAGGCTGATTTCCAAAATTTTTCATGTTACTGTTTTTCACTGGAAAAATTTGAAACTTTGGGTAAATGAGCTTCTCACCTTCCTCTCTACATGCAAAAAGTTTCAATATTTTCCCTCCACTAGTTTTCCAGGAAAACTTTGAAATATTTGAGACTGTATTTTCAACTAATTCAGTTTTTGTAGATTGATTTCCAATATTTTTTATGTTGTTATTTTCCACTAGAAAAATTTGAAATTTTAGAAATATGAGCTTCTCACCTTCCTCTTTACATGAAAAAAGTTTCAAAATTTTCCCTTCATTAGTTTTCCAGGAAAACTTTGAATGTGTGAGACTGTATTTTCAATTAATCCAGTTATTGTAGGTTGATTTCCAAGATTCCTCATGTAATTTTCTACTGGAAAAATTTGAAATTTTGGGAAAATGAGCTTCTCACCTTCCTCTTTATATATAAAAACAAAGTCTAAAAAGTTTCAAAATTTTCCCTTCACTAGTTTTCCAGGAAAACTTTAAAATATGTGAGACTGTATTTTCAATTAGGTAGGTAATTCAGTTATTATAGGTTGATTTCCAAGATTCCTCATGTTGTAATTTTCTACTGGAAAAATTTTAAATTCTGGGAAAATGAGCTTCTCACCTTCCTCTTTATATGCAAAAAGTTTCAAAATTTTCCCTTCACTAGTTTTCCAGGAAAACTTTGAAATGTGTAAGACTGTATTTTCAACTTATTCAGTTTTTGTAGGTTGATTCCCAAGATTTTTCATGTTGCTGTTTTCCAATGGAAAAATTTGAAATTTTGGGAAAATGAGCTTCTCACTTACCTCTTTACATGTAAAAAGTTTCAAAATGTTCCCTTCACTAGTTTCCCAGGAAAACTTTGAAATGTTTGAGACTGTATTTTCAATTAATCCAGTTATTGTAGGTTGATTTCCAAGATTCCACATGTCGTAATTTTCTACTGGAAAAATTTGAAATTTTGGGAAAATGAGCTTCTCACCTTCTTCTTTACATACAAAAAGTCTCAAAATTTTCTCTTCACTAGTTTTCCAAGAAAACTTTGAAATATGTGAGACTGTATTTTCAATTAATTTAGTTATTATAGGTTGATTTCCAAGATTCCTCATGTAATCTTATACTGGAAAAATTTGAAATTCTGGGAAAATGAGCTTCTCACCTTCCTCTTTATATATAAAAAGTTTCAAAATTTTCCCTGCACTAGTTTTCCAGGAAAACTTTGAAATATGTGAGACTGTATTTTCAATTAGGTAATTCAGTTATTATAGGTTGATTTCCAAGATTCCTCATGTTGTAATTTTCTACTGGAAAAATTTGAAAATCTGGGAAAATGAGCTTCTCACCTTCTTCTTTACATGCAAAAAGTTTCAAAATTTTCCCTTCACTAGTTTTCCAGGAAAACTTTAAAATGTGTGAGACTGTATTTTCAACTAATTCAGTTTTTGTAGGTCGATTCCCAAGATTTTTTTATGTTGCTGTTTTCCACTGGAAAAATTTAAAATTTTGGGAAAATGAGCTTCTCACCTTCCCTTTACATGCAAGAAGTTTTAAAATTTTCCCTTCACTAGTTTTCCAGAAAAACTTTTAAATGTGTGAGACTGTATTTTCAACTAATTCAGTTTTTGTAGGTTGAATTCCAAGATTTTTCATGTTGCTGTTTTCCACTTGTAAGAGACATTTGTAGGAAATTTGAGAGGAGTAGGGAGGAATTTGTGAGAATTTGAAGGAATTCGCAGGGAATTTAGAGGAATTTGTGGGGTATTTGGAGAAGTTCGTGGTGGGGTATTTGGAGGAATTTGCGATGGGGTATCTGGAGGAATTTGCAGGAATTATACGTAAAAAATTCCCCTTTGAGGAATTGTTTGCACCGATTCTGGGGTGTGGTTTACCCCTTGAGGAAGACTATGTAGGTATGTTGAACTTGTCATAAAATATCTAGATTTCCATATACCGAGATAGGGCAAAATAGACAGGCCACCCTGTACCTAAAAAAATGTTGCAATTTCAAATTTTTTCATGTAGAGATTTTAACTCTGAATGATCCTTTGGGACCCCAAAAACTTCATACTGCGAATCATTGTTGAGTTTTGAAGCCAAAATGTTTGGAAAAAAAAACAGCGGAATTCGACGATTGGATTGAATCAGAACTGTTGAGAGTAACTTCAAATGCATTGTTAGTCACTTAAGAAGCTTTTGAAGTTAGAGTTACTTTCTCAGTGATTTTAAAAGTCTAGAACAAGTAAGAGTGACTTTGAATGGATCATAAGTTGATTCAGTTTGAAGCTACTCTGGACAATTTCCAGTGAGTTTTTCGACGATTGGAGTGAATCAGAACTGTTGAGAGTAACCTCAAATGCATTGAAAATCGCTTAAGAAGCTTTTGAAGCATTGCAGCTACTTTCTCAGTGATTTTAAAAGTCTAGAACAACTTAGAGTGACTTGAGTGGATCATAAGCTGATCCAGATACTTTTGAAGCTACTCTGAACAATTTCCAGTAGGTTTTTCGACGATTGGAGTGATTCAGAACTGTTGAGAGTGATTTCAAATGCATTAGAAGTCGTGTATTATGACGCTTTTGGAGCATTTGAGGTACATTCTCAGTCATTTTAAAAGTCTAGAACAAGTAAGAGTGCCTTTGGTGAATCATAAGTTGATTCAGATACTTTTGAAGCTACTCTGGACAATTTTCAGTAAGTTTTTCGACGATTGGACTGATTCAGAACTGTTGAGAGTGACTTCAAATGCATTGAAAATCGCTTAAGAAGCCTTCAAATAATAGGAGCCACTTTCTCGGTGATTTTAAAAGTCTAGAACAAGTAAGAAGGATTTTGGATGGTTCATAAGTTATACTTTTGAAGCTACTCTATATAGACAATTTTCAGTAAATTTTTCGACAATGGAGTGATTTAGAACTGTTGAGAGTGACGTCAAATGCATCGGAAGTTACTAAGAAGATTTTGAAGCATTGGAGCTAGTTTCTCAGTAATTTTAAAATTCTAGAACAAGTGAGAGTGACTTTAGATGGATCATAAGTTGATTCAGATAGTTTTGATGAAGCTACTCTGGACAATTTCCAATAAGTTTATTCGATGATTGGAGTGATTCAGAACTGTTGAGAGTGACTTCAAATGTATTGAAAGTCGCTTAAGAAGCTTTTGAAGCATTGGAGCTACTTTCTCAGTGATTTTAAAAGTCTAGAACAAGTAAGAGTGACTTAAGTGGATCATAAGCTGATCTAGATACTTTTGAAGCTACTCTGAACAATTTCCAGTAAATTTTTCGACGATTGGAGTGATTCAGAACTGTATTATATTAGGGAAATTCTAAAGAACAATATGAGAGTTTGGAATAGGAACAAATGTCCCCCTGTTTCCCTGCTGGACTTTATCTCGAATATTGAAAGTGTAGGTAAATGAGCTGTGATTTCCAAAGTTTGTAGGTAGGTAGTTCTTAATTAGAAAAAGGTTATCTGATAATTTCAGATTCCTATCTATGATACCTATGATTTTTCATAATTTTTAAAAAAAAATTCATCACCAAGTACAAAGATGTTGAAATTTCAAATTTTTCTATTTCAGTATTCTCTTAAATAATAAAAATCAATTTTTAAACTCACTCTAATGTGTTTGTTTTCACTCTAATTCTTCAAATTTTTCCACAAAAGATAATATTATAGGTCATTAGGTTACTATCATATTATCATTATTTCTTAAATAACTTTGTACTAATGGATCTAAATTTATGAAGCCTCTAAAACTTAAAACATTTCAGAATTGCTCATTGATTGTTGAGAGTAGGTAACTCTAAACCCCTAAATCAAAAAAGTCACGTTCTCAGCTCCAAAAATATTCTTTTATATGATAAAGCCATTAGAAATTTGATCCCCGCGCTGATTTGTTTTTGATCTTTGTAAGCTTCTATAATTATTAAATACAAACAAAAAGCTATATTGATGAAATCCTTGCCAAGTTTTACATTTGACTAAATCATCTGATGCATGTTTGAGTCAAGACAAAACATTTATATTATAAAGAGAAGGGAAGTCCAAAGTTTAGGGCACCTCTATAATTCACCCAAGACAGGATATATATTTAGTTTGTCTACTTGAAGATAAATATACGATTTTATCTAATCTGTGTTTTGCCAAAAACGAAAACAATTTGTGCAGGCTTATATTTTACTAGGAAAATATATTGTTGTTTATTTGGTAAATATAGGTGTGGCAATAAATATTTATCTCTGATATAAATTTAGATTCTAGTTTTTGATGTCTTAGCTCAAAAATTTGTTTTGTTTCAGAAAGAACTTAAACCGTCACGATGAATTGGCTCTGGCTGCTACTGACTGGATTAACTCTGATATCTTTCGCGAGTAGTGCCGATCTATCTCTATCAGATCGATGTTTGATAGATTTGCCTGGTAAGTTACCACATTTTTTAATATCCACTACTATGGAGAACTAACTTGTGATTCATGAAAATAATGGGAGGAATGGAATCATAAGTACCTATAGTAGAATCATTGACCGATTTTTTGGATTGGATATGTTGATAAGATGGATATACAAGCTGCAAATACAGATTTAAAACAAAAATTGTAGGTAATGTTGTTTGGGTAGAGGGTCGCCGGAAAACACAATGCTGCTGATAAAATCTTGATTATATTGCTGGACAATAACTTTCTAACATACACAGCTTTTTACAATCTAAAAACTTCTACTAGAATATCACAGGTGTGATGTTATATTTTCCCCTCTGGCCTCGAACTCGTCTCGAGGAGGGGCCAGATTGGTCAACTGGATTCACCTTCTTTTTCGGAGGTCTTCCTCGTTTTCGTATTGGTATGGTCCAACTGGCGTCATTTCAGAGGTTCCATGTACAGTCGTTAAATCTGATACATGATATATCAATAAGGGTGTTGCTGGCTTTTGCAGTTGTATGTCCGCATCTTCATAGCTTACTGAAGAAACTTTCCTCATTATTTGGTAAGGTTCATTTCTTTTGGGGTTAAGTTTCGAAGTTTTCTGCTTAGCAGCAGTGCTAAGGGTATGTGTTTCAAATCTCCGATCTTGGCGTTTATACCAAACCTGCTGGCTTTTGATTTGAAACCTTATACCCTTGACACTCGATACAATTCTTCACATATTCCGTCACAAAACGTCGCAATCCAGTGAAATAATAACACTTTGCTATCCGGTGTAAAGTTCTTTCGGCACCGTAATGGAGCCGCTGTTCCTTCGTCGTGATAATTCTTTAAAACTTTTTCCCGTTCATGCGTCGGGACAAGTTGGGCTTCCTCAGTGTCCGCGTCTTCATAGAAATATCTATATGAAACACCGTTGACCATGATACACCCTCGATCTGTCCATGTGGAAAATTCATCACTTAACCTGTCTTCGAAATTTTCAATAATTTTTTTCCAAATCAGGGTCCTTCAATTGCTCGTTTCGGATTTCTGATGCTCATCGTCTCGTTACGGTGCAATTGTCACAAAACTCCTTGGTCTCGTGTTGCATAGAAGCCTGGATAATCTGCTACTACATTCCTTTTACCAAGTAAATATTCCATCCTCAGGTCATGATTTTAATTTTGTGAAGCCCACCTGGCTAATCTACAAGTTGACGATTCGAGGTTGAGCAACCATCTCGAAGGCTGATGGTCGGTTTGCAAAGTTATACGCATTCCTTGGATGTATCCTCTGAACTTATCAAGCGCCCACACACCAGCAAGTGCTTCACGCGTGGACGTCGAGTAGTTATTCTTGCATGCAGTGAGTATTCTAGTGGCATACTAGATGAAATGTTCATCTATGTCCTCGCTTTGTAAAAGTACGACTCCTAATGCATATAAATCCACTGGCATCTGCCCTCAATAGGTATGGTTTTGTTTTTTCATTTTGTTGCAAAATTGCGGCTGTGATAAGTGCATTTTTCAAAGTATCAAACGAGCTCTGATGCTGTCATAGTACGTTTTTCTTAGTTGGACGTGAAATGGCAGCAAAGTCCTTCACAAAACGACGATACCAGCTATACGATTGCAAGAACGAAAGCACTTGCTTAACGTCACGGGGCGTAGGTCTATTCACTGCCACTTTTTTCGGATTCACAGAAATTGCATCAGGAGTGATCAAATGACCAAGGTATTTGACAATCTTACACGCAAAGTTGCATTTTTAAAGTTTGGCTCGTAAATTGAATTCGCGGAGAAGTTGAAACACGAGTTTTAAGTCCTCCATATGTTCCTTAAAGACCTTAAAAGTCCTGAAGAGCACACAGATATCGTCTAGGTACGCTAGCACTAATACGTTACTGAGTGCACGTCGAAACTGATCGATCAAGTGCTGAAAAGTTCCAGGTGCATTTTTCAGTCCAAACGGCATCCTGTTAAAACGATAAGTTCCGTAAAGGCTGTTTTATCACGATCAGGTTCATGAACACTTCTATGGTTGTATAATAATATGTTATGGCGTAAATTTAGATGTTCCCTATTAGATCTGACAGGAACAGAACAATAGTATATTGTTGTAATAGGAGTAGATGCGTTACTTTTTTGTGCTGAAGCGGTAGGTTTGCAAGCCGAACGTAGTGAGGCTTGCAATACTGCTGAAGCACAAAAAAGTGCTTCTACTCCGTATGCAACACGCTATTTTTCCTCCAAACAAATGGGGTAAGCTCGGGGGCAAGTCGATGGTTGAGCGGCAGTAAAAGTACGAGCGGCACTAAAAGTACTTTTGCTGCCGCTGGGGTTGCCAAGCAGCATAGAAATTAAATTTCTACCACCTCGACAGGTGTTAACCCGCTGGATTTGCCTAGCAGCATAGAAATCAAATTTTTGACATCTTGACAGAAGTTAACAAAGTGACGTTTTTCTGACGTTTGGAGAAAAACAATAATAATTTCCCAGATTGGTATAAAGTCTGCGACAAGTGGGTCCGGCAGCTTTTAAACAGTGGAGAATGGGGTGGGTTTTAAAGCTGTAAATATTTATAAGGCGCCACGTAGTTAAGCCACTTATCGCTTGTAGAACAGATGGTAGATTGAAAAATTATTAAGTCCAGACCCAAGCACTAACCACGAACTTGCCAGGTTCTGGACCAACCTAAAAATAATCGTTGCAAATTGTCCCAAAAATTAAGCTGCTGTTGTCCCTATAAGGTGGTGGGGGGTTAATTGATTTAAGCCGGAGTCTATTCAATGAATTGAAGTTTATTGGAAATGTGTGTATATGAGTACTTCAAAAAAAAAGAAAGTGAAAATATCACAGTTGGATTAAAAATTAATTAAGTCCTCTTGTTTGTCTTTAAAGGGTCACCATTCGACCGTAGATAAATACCCTTGACTGAGGATGGACTGAGAATTAGGAAACAAATACAACCGTCTCACTCAAAAGTATTTTGACAAAAATATTGCGGTTGAAAATATTAAATTATGCAGTTACACCACACAAATGTGCACCTTTATCAATGAGATAAACAAACTTGCACCTCAAATGAATAAATAAATATAAATCATAAAATTACCAGATCGACCTTATGACGTCATAAACCTCGATGTGACACTCTGCACATGCATTACTTAATACGCACTAAATAAACATTATAACAATAATTGTACTCCTAATAAGTCCCGCTAATATTGGGAGTCTCAATGACTCTGTGGTGTGTCAGGACACCTACACCCCAAACGAGCGTGCCGAGAACTAGCCTACTTGGCCACGATTTGTTTAATAAAATGGGGTGGCACCTCGGTTAAGGGTAGGGCCGTTCCCTTATATTTGACAAACATTAATTGAATCAATATTTAGGAAAAGAAATGCATACAATATAACGGGCCTCAAAATGATTGAGGTCAGATCAAACAGGTATTAAAATATTAAAATTTAAAAAAGTAAGTGAAACGGTATGGTTGGTAAGTACTTATCTGGCTTTACAAGCCTCGACGAGATAGTGCCCTTGTGTCAAATGATGGAGCGGTTGCAAAGACGGACAGGGAACACGTTCAGAGCGGCAACAGCTCTATGCCAAGACATCAGTGGAGCGAGGACCAATTACACCAGAGGTGGAGGCCCAAGAATTCTGAGTCTTCCAGTACTTGAAATCCAATTCAAAAAACCCTAAATAAAAAAACCCGTATAAGTATCCCACCTATATCGCTTAAGAAACTTCAACCCTCAAAAGAAAACCACACACTAGACTAAAGGAGCATAATTACCTCGATGAGGGTTTTCGCTGAGCCAGGAATGGCTGGACTGTACGCGTCGCTTGGAAGGCTGTGAGCTCAGGGCTCCGCCCCTAGTGTGAGTCCAGGGCTCCAATACCCCTAATAGAAGATCGAAATTTTTTAGCTCAAACCCAAATATAAAATAAAAGGAACATTCCTCAGCCAATGACTTTGGCATACGAGGTAATGGAAAAAATCCCAGACATACAGACTTCGGGACAAATATAATATAAAATAGAGGAAAAGAATGCTCACCGATGGATACGCTTCCAGGGGATTTTGAGGACCAGTTCAGTGGTGAGGAGCTTCACCGACGAAAGTATCGGGTAAAGCACGTGGGTGGTGGTAAAGTAGCACTTAAAATACTCCCGAAAAATGGGTGCGAAATCCCTCGAATGCACAATTCCTTGATCCTCCTACAGGGCAAATCTTCGCAATACGGACAGGGGCCAATAATCCTCACTTCATATACCAGAATAGCACGAGATTCCAGACAAAGACTTCCGGAAACTGGTTCACTATTCTTCAAAGAGCTGCTTTCCACCTCACCACCGAACTGAGACTGCCGAATCCGAGGCATGATGGCACCCCAAGAAAGGATTCGCCGGAAGTTCCCCTCAAATTCCTCGAAAATTCGAATTCTAGAATTTCCCCGAATTATTTCGAATCCGCCGCACGTGGCGCACGTAAAAATGCATAAATAAAAACTCGGACAAACTTGAAGCTCCCCTAAAGGGTGGCAAAAATACCCCCTCTCATCGACATTGTCAATTTGTACTCATGAAACACATGGTCACACCAAGTTTGACAGGTGGGATTACAGTTTCCTAGAAAAAACCAAAGAAAACACCTAAGTACGACTGAGTGCAACCGAGTGCGCAACCGAGAACAACCAGAGCAGGTCACTCACGACCAAATGAAAGCGTCCAGTGCTAGCCATTCAATGACTTAAGTACCTATCTAATGTTAGACATTGACGATTAGTGATAACGGGATACAATTCGTCACATCTGGTATACACAGGAAGTCTGTTTTGTGCTCAACATCAAGGAAAAATTCATTCCGTTGTACCATGCGTAAACGAATATGGTTGAACGCAAAAATCGGTATTTGAAACTCAGACTAGCAATTTTAGTAGGGGATAATCACACCAATTCGGTTTGCAATGAATACTGCGAATTGTGATGCAACAGGCCATACTGCATTCTATTTAAATTTTGGACGGAAGCTCCGGACCCTTGATGACCCATACAAAAGGCGACTTCAGCAAGCTTTGGTTGGTGGTATACCATTTGGTTAACCAATTGGTACCTTCATAGTAATGACGTAAGACACCATTTTGTTCCGAATTCGTTTGAAAGGTCATGAGCACGGAAGAGACGAGCCTTTAACCTAACTTTGTGTTGTTTGTTGTTTTTCTAGTTTTGGGAGTGACTAGGTACTGACTGCACTGACTAAAATCTATAATCACTAATCAGCCCTGTCTAGACAGTACCTTTGAGTAACCTATTGGCTATCTCAGCGTTTTCTGTAAATGTAAAGCTTATTCCATAATCCATTCAGCAAAAAAGTAACCCCATATCTGTCGTTCAAAGCTATTTTTCAAATTATCGTCAAACATTATTTGGCACTCAAAACATAAAAGAAAAAAGGAAGATGAAGGCGAAAAAACAAACATATTTGTTAAAAATTTCAAATTATTCAAATTCTAATGAACTTCCATTTATTTACATTTCCCAGAGCAGGACAAAACGAAAATAGACGTAGATAGCACTATACCAGATGAGAAGAACCGTGCTGCTGACCACGGTATATCCTATTTGACAGACCAAAAAGGGGAACCAAACCACAGCATCCAAACCATGTACCAAAGCTTACCGAGATCGCCTAAAATGATATTCGAGTCACAGTTGAAAATGAGAATTTTGTACCACAGATTACCCCTTATTTGATAAAAATTAGCGAGATATCAACAAAAAACGACATATTAAGGACGAGTCAACCTCAGATCCACGTTCAGTCCAAAGAAATATCGACGTGACTTATTCGTGCTATGGTTGTGAAAAGCAGGGTTACATACGGTCCACATGTCCTGTGTGTAGTAAGAATAAAGTTGCCACGTTAGTAGCTGAATTTAGTTACCTTTCTATGGACGAGCATGTTCAAATTAAACCACGACCTCGAGTTTTGTTTGGAATAAGCATTCTTGGGCATCATGGTACAGCCATCATTGACAGCGCCGCAAAATAAAGTGTAGCCAGCAAATAACTGTATCAATTACTTGAAAATCATGGTCAAAAGTTCAACAAACAAACAATTCTAACGGTACTGCGAAACGGAATGCAGAGTTTCTTACACGAGTAAACGTCATTGTAGAACAACGTCTTATCCCGACTACTTTCATCGTATTACCAGAAGAACCAACTACCTTATTAGGTATAGATTTTTTGCAAGATGCAAAAATAACATTAGACATTCCCGATGCTTTGTGGAAATTTATTGTTGACCCAGAAGTTGAGTATGTATTTTGAAAGTCAATCGATTGCGTCTTCAGTAGCTCTAGTTTTGAAGGTTTTTAGAAGATGAAGGTACAATGCTTAACCAAGCAGAACGTGGTACTCTTACTGTTTTAATCAAAGAAAATGAGGATATCTTCAAACCGGGAGGAAACCCTACTCCCTATGCAGTTCATTATATGAAAACACAATAATCCGCCTATAGCTGTCCTACCGTACCGTTTATCTCCTGCACGTAAGCAATAATTACTGAAAACCGAAATTAACAAACTCTTGGAGGATCATATAATTGAAGAATGCAAGAGCCCATGGGCAGCCCCGGTGCTTATGGTACCCAAAAGTTCAGATGGTAAAGACATGCGTGTTTGTGTAAGCTATCAACTATTAGTGACTTAGTACCCGCTACCGCGCATGGATGATCTTTTTCACTCGACTAAAAGAACTTTTCATATGACGTTTTTGAATTTGCATTCCGCATAAGTGTTCATGAACCTGATCGTGATAAAACAGCCTTTACTACTCCTTTCGGAACTTATCATTTTAACAGGATGCCGTTCGGATTGAAAAATGCACCTGGAAGTTTTCAGCGCTTGATCGATCAGTTTCGACGTGGACTCAGTAACGTATTAGTGCTAGCGTACCTAGACCTGTGCGCTCTCCAGGACTTTTGAGGAACATATCGAGAACTTAAAACTCGTGTTTTCACGTCTCCGCCAATTCAATTTACGAGCCAAACGTGAAAAGTGCAACTTTGCGTGTAAGATTGTCAAATACCTTGGTCATTTGATCACTCCTGATGCAATTTCCGTGAATATACGAAGACCTCTGAAAAAGAAGGTGAATCTAGTTGACTAATCTGGACCCTCTACCCAAACAACATTACATTGCTGGACAATAACTTTTTAACATACACAGCTTTTTACAATCTGAAAACTTCTACTACATTTATGATGGAAAAATAAACAATTCAACTATTTTACAACAAAAAAACAATCATTGGCCGACTCGCCGTTTTCTTATTCCGTCGCAAAGCAACCCCTTTTCCCAGGTCGTTCTGACAATGTCCCACCCACGGGTTGAAAAACAGGGTCATCCAGAATGTCCTGGGTGTGATGTTACAAAATACAATTTCTACTAGTTTTAGATAATTATTTCAACTGCTTTGCTTTATTACATATTTGTAGCTCCGGAGATTTGGAGAGATTTTAATCAATTTTCCTTATTTATTCAAACGTGAAAATCTACTATCTATAATTAAATTCATTCAATCCGCTATAGACCACATAGCTAATAATAAAGATAATTGAAAGTGACTGTTAATTCGTGGAACGTACACACACGAAATATTTGGCATATACTTTTATTTGCTCTAATTGAGCCAGGCATGCAAACAACATTTCTAGTTGAACCGAAACGTTTTGGCGTGAGAAACATCAAAACACAATTTTTCCATGATAAATATCATATGCATGAATTTATTTTTATTTGTTCCAGATGTAAATCCTAAAAAATACTTCCACATCCTGGGCAAATCGCTGGAAATCAAAATCGAAACTTCTCACAGAGTCACGCATCAGCTGAGCACTTGGGTGTTTTACTATTTCATCAAGGAAGTTTTGGGCTATACGAAAATTAAAATTATCTATCGGCCGGATAATTTCGAGGTTCAAGACGTTATCAAAAGACTGACCGACTTGAATTCAGAGTAAGTATGATAACTGTTGAAGAGTCATTTATTATGCATAGTTTGATTTTCTTGAGTAGTTAGCAAATAATATCAAGGTTTGTTCCTGACAATAAGTACCTACATAGTTATTTCTTTAGTCTTTTGGTTGGTTCAAGGCATAGTCAGTTATATTTTCTACTTCATCGTTCCTTAATAGTGTTACAGGTGTCCCATTAAGATTTCCAGCATCAGAATCATCGTAATTAAATTGTTGCATGAGATCAGGTTCACTACATTGGTCGTTGTTTTTTGATTATAAGGTTCATTTATATTTTTTCTGCATTCTACAGTCGCCTCTTCGTTGAACTTTTTCTGATGCAGAGCAGAATTTCCTCTTGACGCAAGGTGACGTGTAGACACAATTGTTTTTTTACCATAAGCTAATCTGATATGAGCATAATCAGAATTAGTTTCTAGAAGTTTCACGATCGGTTCATACTGGCTTGTCTTACATGTTTCTTTAGGAAAACTGGACCAGGAACACTCAACCAGGTTGAAATTGGAGAACCATTTGTAGATCTTCGAGGATGACAGAACATTCTTTCATGCGGTGAACAATTTGTTGCTGTACCTACATAACAAAGACCTTATTGGAGGTAAAGAGTCGACCAGCACATGCTGCCAATGTTTCATATCCATGTTTCCTGATGTTAGAGCTAACTGAAAAGTTTTCCATATTATAATACCGTTAAACCGTTCACACTGCGTGTGTGCGTTATATGGAGTAGTGCGACTAGTTGCAATCCCATGTCGTGTTAAAAATGTTGACAATAAAGTACTTTTCATCATCATCATCTTCCTGATATCCCAAACAAACACAGTGTAACATAATTAGTATCTCTGACCGACTTCTGGTACTCGCTCGTACAAACCTCAAGCAAATATCATTATTTTTGCCAGAACAAACCGGATATAGATATAACGAAATTATCTACTATAGATTCAAAAGTCTATTTTAAGTATATCGATCACACGCAATATTGTTTTTGTTACTGAAAAGTGAAATGTTTGGCGAATGACGCCACCTTATCACTGTCTGTTATTATTGAACCAGAGAATATTTCAGGGAATTATTTTGATTATACAACTCACTGTACGTTATTCCCATATGACACGAGAGGCTTAATAAGTGATAAGCCTTTTGGGATTATCGCGCTTGGTGGCATTTGTCATTAATAATAATACAAATCAATAAAGCATTTAAGTTTAGTTCGTTATATAACCTTTTGAATACCACTCGATGTTTCAGGATTACCTAATACTTTTACCTGACACTCAACGCGTTAGCAGCAACACCACTCCTCCTTCGGAGTCGTGGTGTTGCTGCGTAACGCGTTTCGTGGCAGGTAAAAGTATTATCCGGTAATCCTGGAACCTCTTGTGGTATTACATTCGAGAATTTCATACATCTGTCAAAACTGGTATTCCAACAATAAATTGACATGTTTTGATTGTTGATTTGAACCAATCAGATTGCAATTACGCGATAATTTGCACTAGTGCAAATTATCAGATAATTGCATAGTAACTGGTGCGAAAACTGGTGTTTTGACATTTTTTGACAAAAAATTTAAATTTTTGATTTATGAAATTCTCTCATTAAATACAACTCGTGCAATGGAAATATATTTATAATTTTCGACAAATTTGCACTCATGCGTTTTTAACTGAAAAAGGCACTCGTGCACTCGGGCAAATTTCCCAAAAATTATCAATAATTTCCATTACACTAGTTATATTACTATTGATAATATGTAAAAAGCCAACATATTCTACACCTAGACAAAGTATACAGGTATGTATACGAAAGCGGCAGATGATAAAACCACATGATTTTGTTATTTAGGCGCCAGAAAAATACACAACGATGATGACTAAATACTTGACACAGATGCCAGAGAGAGATAATTGAATTGCGTATATGAAAAGAAAATATGTGGCAACTTATTTTCCTGGAAAATTTCGGGCTTGTTATTGAAAATTGGCTTGTTTTTATTAGGTTTTGTTGATCCGGAAACTCAAAATCAATTTTTACTTCTTTTCCAGTATTGCCAAGTCGACGATAAACCTCGAAGTTTGGATACCGCCAGATTACGATACCTACGTCACGGATTTCGTAAAAGAATGCGGAAGCCTTTCGCCGCCCGGCCGATTCGGCTGGTTCATACCGATCGACCTGACCTACCCGATCAAAAACTATTACAATCCAGATAACAGGCCCGATATCAAGTCCATACACTGGAGGCATTTTAGAGAACCGAAAATCGTGCGGTATTTCGAGATGAAGCAGAGCGTTTTGAATGATATTGAGCAACGGCGGTTTAACAGGAATAATTTCACTGGAGGGTAAGTACCTACCCACTTGATGAATTGGTGTCTTGTCAGAGATTTTTCATATATAGAGTTAAGTTGTTTCTAGGAAGGTTTGTGAGGGATTCATTTTTGATATTCTGGAAACTGCTCCATTTGGGAGCTATCAAGGATTTTCTCTTTCCACAACATTTTTCTCCAGAATCCCTTTCCCATTAAGAGCCTTATTTATAAGATTTTACAATTTCCTGTTTTGTGTACTGTGGTTTTTTTGATTTTGATTTTCTAGTTTAAAAATTCGTTTCACTGGATAGTTTAGGTTAGTACCATAGTGTGAGAAGCTTATAACCCAAAAAGCCGACTTATTCTTTAAATTTCGGACTACAATTAGGAGCAGAGTCATGAAATAAAAATCTAGAACTACTCCAGAAGCAATCTACAATCTAATCCAGTAGGTATACTTCAATCAGTTAGTAGGTATACCATTATATTAAATGTTCCAAGTCATTTTTCTTCAACATAGTAAACTTCAAGTAGCAAACCTCATAGATGGCTGCAGTTCAAATTTGTTCCGAACATTTTTCCTGTCAGACTTTTCTATTTGAAGATCATGAGAAACTGCCCTAAATGGGTGTAAAACTGCTTTTTATTGACATTTTCTCTGTTTTCTATTTCATTAGATTCATAGTAGCCAACTTAACTTATCCATTTAGTGAATTTGTCAGTTGTAAACTCTACTAATGAATTTATATTATAACAATCAATAATGTCCTTGCACTTTCAATAAGATCATTTGCGAAAATAATTAATCGACTTATTGAAAAGCAAACAGAGAAACATGTTTATGTCTAGCATTTGTAGAAAAAAATATGATTGAGAACAACGCGTAACCCAAATTATTATTTATTCAAAGGTTCAACGTTTTTTTTTTCAGCGAAATTTCTAATGCGATTTAGAGGAATATTTTTTGGAAATTGATATGTAATGGAATCAATTTTACATTAAATTTTTGTTGCTCGAAAACCGACAAATAGAACTTTTTAGAACCTCCAGCAGCCTGATACAAGCAAGATTTCTCATTTTTCATTTATATAATATAGTAAAAACAGCAATGGACAGCAATGTAGCTTGAGGTACACCATAATTTACATTCATTCTATCAAACACTATTCTTAAATTTAACACATTGAACTCTATTACAAAGATAAGACCTAAACCAACTGAGAACAGAACTCTCAACTCCCATATTTTCCAACTTTTTTAACAATATATCTCTACCAACAGTTTCAAACGCTCTCTTAAAATCTAGAAAAACAGCTAGGTACTTAACACAATTTCATCACAATCCATTGCCTTGAGCAAATCATAACAGATGTTCATAATAGTAGTCTCACAAGAGTGTTTTTCACAAAAACCTGACTTATTTGAGACCAATATCTGGTGTCTATCATAGTGTTGCTGGAGCTGCTCCTTCACTACCATTTCCAGAAGTTTTTCGTATACAGTTACAATGTTTATAGGTCTTAACTCTTCATGGTGCTTTGTATTGTTTACCTTGGGGACTTGGATAACCATTGATTCCTTTCATGAGTCAGGAAATACGCCACTTGATGAAAGGCATTAATAGTGTTAATAATTCGATCAGCAATGACATAGCAAAGCAAGCATCGCTGAGCACTTGCTTGGAAATGCCACTCTCACCACCTCCAACTGTTTTCATGCCTCTCAGGATTTCTTTCAATTTGCTCATAGATATTCTCTGAAACTGAGTAAAAGCACCTGCGTAATGTGATGTTGATGTGTGATAGCAGAATTAGCACTGGAACATTCTTTATAATCATGTTGATTACTGCATTTAAATTTTAGGGCATACTTTCTTTTCTTTGCAGTCTTTCACTTGATGACCATAACGACAACATTCAAAACATCTAATGATACCATAATCATCATGTACCCAGCACCGATTCCACCCAATATTCATTATCTGTTTTTCTATTAGTATATTGTAAGTATTGCTGTCAACTTCAAACACAATATTGAATTTACTATTATGAACTTTGATCTGTACCTTATTTGTAACTTTGTATTCGGGTTCAGGTCGTTTCGATACAATTTCCACTCCACTGTTAAGTTAAATTCACATTCATTATTTTCAATAACTTTAATACGTTTTTCCATATTTCGGCCTATTAACATCATCATAGTTATTACCAAATTTACTCTGGATTTCTAATTGTACACTTGCAACTGATTTTTCGTTTTCACAACTTAGAATGAGGCCTCCATCTCTCGTGAGCCTGTCCATTGTAACCCCAACTCCAATATCCCTTGGAATCACCTTGGTACGTAAATCATCCTTTATCCTTTATTTGTTTCATGTCCTTTTGCGAAGAGCCCTGTTTTTGTTTAACTACCAATATTTTGTTGTCTTGTTTTTGTTTTGTTACAGCTAACAATAAATCGATTTTTTCTGCAATTCCTTTGTGGTATTGACCAAATTTCTTGAATTTCAATTACAAAGCTTTGATCCAAATAACTATCTCCAGTTCGGCTCCTTAGTCCTTTTTCTTACTGTTTGTTTACCTCTGACATCGTATTACAATGTCAGACATTATATCGCAAACAAGGAAATTCGAAAAATATCAGAATATGCTTTGACATGAGAAACCCTAAAAAATAATTTTGAGAGATCGTCATTTAACACTAACTGTTGACGAACTGATAACACAACTGAATGGTTCCAAAATGTTTAGCAAACTCGATTTGAAGGATGGATAACATTGACTTAGCCTAGCACAATAATCCACGTACATAACACCGTTTTCAACCCATGTTGGATTACACAGATACAAAAGGTTGAGTTTTGGCATCATTTCAGCATCTGAAATATTTCAAAACACAATTGGATAAGTTTTACAAAACTATCCAGGAGTAATTACCCTGAGTGAAAACATACCTACTTGTTTTTGGAAAAAACAAAGGATTACAAGAAGTTTTGAAAAGATTGCAAGTGAATAATCTCACCGCACAGCACAACAAAAATAAAGTTTTTTGGATATATCTTTTTGCAAGATGGAGTGCATCCAGATCCAGATAAAAAGTATGAAAAATAGTCCTCAAATCAAAGCGCAAGTGAAGTACGATCATTCCTTAGTATGATCAACTATACGTTGAAAAATTTCTTCCTAAACTTACAAGGAACACAAATTTTAAGAGAACTATCAGAGAAAAAAAATTAACTGGACATCACAACATGAACAAGCCTTTAAATCCAGCTAAGCGATACCAATAACTTGGCATATTTCGACATAAAGAAAACCTATATGCAGATTAAGGTCCTAATAAAATTGGCTCGAGAAGACACACAAAGGAACATGTTTATAGTAGCATAGGCCAGCACAACTTTAACTTCAACCCAACAGCGACACAGTCAATTTGAAAAGGAGACATCAGCTTTTACTTGGTCAGTACAACATTTTCATAAAAATCTCTACGGGTCTGATTTTTTTTTAACACTGCAATAATCTTCCATTGGTAAAAAAAATACAGAACACAAGATCAGTACCAAATCCTCGAGTTGAAAGAACGCTACCAAGGATCCAGCCTTACAGTTTCAAAATTGAACATCAACAAGGAGTCACAAAATTCGTCCGAGTATATTTCAAGACATCCGTGAATCAGAGCCTAAATATTACAAGATTATGTTCATTTTTGTATAAAAAGTGCACTTCCTCAAGGTATTGGTAGTATCGACACATAAGGGCGGGGATACAAAAAAGCCATTATTAAATTATCGCCTAATATCATTGTTATCAACAATATCCAAAGTTGTTGAGAAGCTTCTCAAAAAACGTTATGACTGATTTCCTATCAAAACATAAAATTATTAACTCCGCCCAATTTTGATTCCTTCCTCAGAAGGGTACCCATGATGCCATGTTCCGCGTTCTGGAACAACTCTTGCAGCACTACAACAAGGCCTTTGACTATGTGAGTCGCAGAACTTTTCTGAGGAAATTAGAGGTCTACGGCTTTAGAGGTGTGATCTCGAGGTGGTTCGAATCATATCTTTCACATCGCAGTCAGCGTGTCACCCTGGGATGGAAAATGTTCTTCTGATCAGCCAATCTTCCGTGGGTTTCCACAGAGACCAGTCCTGGGACCAATATTATTCCTCATCTATGATCTTCTCTACCTTGATATATCGGAAGTATTCACTGCATTCGCGGATGATTCAACGATTGTGTGGCACGGGGGAAGTTCTGGTGAGCTGGTTCAGGTGATTTCTGGGGACACCAGGGCCATTAAGTGTTGGTGTGATGCAAATTGACTGCTTTTTAACTTTGGTAAGACTCAGGTGCTTGGGTTCCGATGTAATGTTGATGATATTAATTGTGACTAATTATCCATCAAATCCTCTCTAAATACTAAATTTTTTGGGCTTCAACTTAACGTTGATCTTAAATTCTAATCGCATGTCACTGCACTTGGCGGGAACCTTGCTTCTGGTTGCTACTGTGTCCGAGCTGTGGCCACAAATTTGGATGCAACCATAGCCAATACCTGTTTCAATCAGTGTTTAAACTCCAGAAGCGAGCAGTGCGCTTTATCGCTGATGCCTCCTCGGTGGAACACTGCAAACCCTTATTTAAAAAATTTAAATTTACATAAACACATATCTTCGTTCCCTGTACACCAAACTGCCTTTTCCCTACTCTTGTGAAGAATTTAATAATTTACAGCGTGAAATTCTATAATCACCTTCCTGCAACTATCAGAAACATCTCAGATATTCCACGGTTTCGAAGCCATTTGAGGAGCGTGATGAGTTTCTAAATGTCTCTATATAGGACTCAAGCCTTCCTGCTTCTGTTGCATTCGTGTTATATTTTGACTTAACTGTCGTTGTATTTATCCTAGTCTCAAATTTGCCTGTCATTTGTTTGTTGCTTATCTTTTTTTGTACCATTTACTAATAGTCCAGGAGGCAGTGAAATTTTTTAGCACTTATTTTCTTAGTTGGTGTCTATTAAATA